GTATTAATGCCCACCAATCCGTCACATCCGTTGCTCCGCAAGGTCGTGGATTTCACATCCTCTACCACATACCAGCGTCTCTCTTTTTCCATGGCGCAGTGGATGCCCTACATCGAACGGTTAACATGTGCCCGAGCCTGTCAGTGACATTATCACTCAAGAGGACCACGATAAACACCAAAGTCAGCACATTCTTCTCAGCTCTCTCAGATTCCTGTGGGAGCACATACCGGATCGCACCCCTCGGAAATTAGAGGCTCATAGTGTGAGTTACTAACCGAGCAATTCAAGTTTTGGTATGAGGGTCGACCTCAACTTGCATCACTTTTCCTTCCTGGGCTTCGACTTTGCATTCGATACTCTCATTAGGTACCGTTTGGATTGACACCATAATCTTTTCAAGTCATTGAAAATGGAAGCGACCTCGGACTTCCATTAGCAGCCCCATAACTGACCGTATATACTTGACCGAGGTCTCACCCCTCCGACTTCAACTTTCGAGCCCAGCGACGAGGGGATAGATAGCAGGTTCGCTATTGATTAACAAAACGGCCGATTTCTTCATCTTCAACTTTCTCCTCACGGTAAAATCAATGATGCAAGAAAATGGCGCAGAACTTGTCAAGTTGTCACTCGTGACAATGGTAAGGGCGTCATTATACGGTGCTGGTCCCATTCGAGTTTGGTCTCCAGTCAGCTCAGCGTGATTGGCAGATTGGCATCGTTGGGCCGCAACTTTCATTCACAGCATTTTTAAACTCCCTCGAGGTCAAATAACCCCGAGCTCTGTGGCGGGGGTGGCGGGGGTGGAGGTGTCTGGGGTTCCTCGGGCTCGAGCGAGTTTGAAAATGCTGTGAAGGGACACAAATTGCATCCACCCACTCACATGAGGGCGGGCCTGCTTGGCTTCAAGGGTGCCGCTCAAGGCTCTGCAGACACTTGCACAGCCCCCGCCACATAAGGGTGGATGGGCGGGGTTTCCCAGCCTCAAGATAGTTTGAAAATGCCGTGAAGGAGGTTCTGTGAATCCAACAGCCAGAGTACTGTGTAGCGATACTTCTGAACAGGGCGCGCAACGTAGTGCAAGCAAGGTCACTGATACGGGGCTTCAATTCGTGATGCAATTGTCAGACAGTCTGATTGATGTGACTGGAAGAAAAGGAGGGGAGGCCCAAAACGTCTTTGCCCAGTCGACTCCCCTTGCGATAACCCCAACGGACGAAGTACGGCCTCGAAACACTCACATAGCCCACCCTCGAAGGCCCCGAGATGCGCGGGTCGAGAACACAGCAGTGAGCCCTCTTTACGAGCCCTGCTAAACGGCCGAGCGACTTTCCCGATATGCAACCAGCGGGCCCTACCCCAGATCTGTTCAGCGGCATCTTGCTTGACCCGAATGTCGGTAGTCAAATGTCGCTGATAAACCTCGATGAGACAGACTATAACTTGGCCAGTGCGCTTACAGAATGGGGAGATAATATGGCCTTGCCAGACCTCTATCCGCCCCAATCGACCCCCATTTCATATCAGGAGATCTCGTACTCGCCGTCCGTTGTTCCGAACTCCATTCAATCGACAGGCCAGTCTGCCATTTCGACAGACGACGAAGAGACCATATGCTACGGAATGGTGAGTGACCGCCACTTCACTTTAGCCGTGCTCTCCGACCTCTCTAACTTGGGATGCGATTCACCCGCGCTAGCTGCACGACGTCGATGTTAAGCTAGTAGGCGAGATGCGAACCACGGATGCCAATCTCGGCGAAAGCGAGGCCGGCTACAGGCGCTTCGAGCTCTGCGAGCAGCAAGACCACATCATCCTGTGCTTCCACAATGACGGCAAGGAATTTGGTTACCTGCGCTCCGGTGTAGGTAAGACACTGGCACCGCTGCTGGCCAAGCCATATGTCGAGTTCGAGCCTATCACGCTCACATCTAACTTGAAGCTGGCTAAGCCCGCTGAGGCCATAGTGAAGGTTGACATCAACGTGTACGGGCCGCGGCGGGCCGCGGATGAGGTGGGTAACGCGCTTTCACGCGGCAAGCTGTGGCTACAAAAGTCGGGCCATGCCAGGCGTGAAGTTGCATACGATAACCCACACTTTCTGCCTCTCAAGGTCCATGGCATTCAAATGCAGGCAGTTCAGCCTGTGAGTCAAATTGTCAAGGATGGGCTCGTTAAAAAGAAGCACCGGGAGGAGCGGATGCGAAAGATGGTCGAGGAGGTGTACAAGTCTCTGGACAACACTCGGCATCTCGACGTGGTGGAGGGTGGAAATAGGATCACCCGGAAGCTACTCAAGTAGGCCCTTCTTTGTTGTAATTGAAGTCTGTTGATTGCTGATCTGCCGCCGCTAGACACCAACAAGAAGCGCTAGGCTTCATGCTGGAGAGAGAATCCGGCCATATCAATGACGGGTACAGGCTTTGGGAGGAGGTCATTTTGGAAGATGGGACGAAAGAGTGCGCCGCTCGTGAATCCAATCCAATGCTCATAGCTAACGTGACGACATCAGGTACCGCCACAGAATCACAAAGGCTAGGGCTAAGCAAGACACTCAGCCAGACGAGAGAGGCGGTGGCATTCTGGCTGATGAGATGGGCATGGGGAAGTCGCTGTCTATCCTTGCCCTAATCGCGAACACCCTTGACGACGGTAAAAACGAGTGGGCTCAGCAGCAGAACAGACGGTGCCGAAGGCAAGGAGGCCGCTTAAGACACTCGCCGCTCTACCGCTTGGTGGGTCGTCCCTTCTGCCCAGCGCTGCTCTCAGATCAGTCAGATCAGACAGACCCTCCTGATCTGATCGGATTGATTCCCTCGACCCTTGGACTGGACTGGACTGGATTGAACTGGACTGAACTGACATACAAATGCAGCTATTCGTAACCCTGCTGCCCCTTAATCGATCCCCAATCCGGCCTGCTGCCCTTCATGACTCCTCCGATGACGATATCGCCGTTCCTAAGCCAGTTCTTCAGCATCTGAAGCATCTCGATAGTCTCCCACTTCATTGCATGCCTCTGGGAGCTCAGAGTAAGCCTAGCAATGCTGAAGGACCTCTCGCAGTCAGCTGCCATGGCTGGAATAGCGAGAATGTCAAGGGCCATCTGAGACAGCTTTGGGAACTGAGCCTTATTACTGATCCACCATTCAACCGGATCGACGTTGCCCCCGACCTTCATGTTGTAGTACCGGTCAATCTCGTCCTCGTTACCATCTTCATCGGAACTGACTCCGCTGTTGACGAAGGCCTCGTAAGCATCGTCCTCCCGGCCTAAATCTCGACAGACAGATCGACCCTGAGGCT